CCACCCAGTTCAAGATATCCATGATGCATCAACTGAACATTGCAGCAATAGATTTATATGCCTACAAGAAAGTCTGCTTACCTTCCAGAATTAATGAGAGAGGGTGTAAAAATCTATTAACAAGCAGTGTGTCGAAATTATTACTTGGGCTGTTGCCTCTGATATCATTAGCTCAGCATTAAATACTTTGTCTCCAGTGTTTGCTTGACCTTTGCTAAGTTAACGCACCGAAGATACACAGTGCTGGATAAGACATGTAGATTTGCTTTATGAACAGTGTGTATGAAGTTTTTTGGTTTTTTTTACATTTTTGTACATTACAAACTTAAAAAAAAAAACATATGTTAAATCATACTTAACTTTTAAATGATCTAAAATGGAACCATAACATAGAAAGAACAGCAGGCTCACATTAGAGACAAAAACTGAAGGTGACAACAGTGGCCGCTGTACAAGCACCACAAATAAAGCCATAACATTTTACAGTATCATCATGAAAGAGAAATACTCTAACAAGCTTGGCAAGTGTAACCTCAAAAACATTTCACTCTGGAAACGTTGAATAAGAGGCATTTTGTCCAAATGTGGCTACGCATTAAATAAGTAAATGCTCTCAAGGTAGCACATGGCATTTGCAGACAATTAAACACTGGAGGCAGGAGTGCAAAAAATTGGCTTTTGGCCATTAAGTGAGTGTATATGCTGTAGTCTGAAGCCAATGTAATACTATGGCTCTACCTGTTCATCTTGATCCCCGGAGCAGAGAAAAACAACCCTCACTGGCATGATCAATTGTGTAACAATCAGAAATGAATGGTGCATGAACAGTTCTCAGAAATACAATGTGAGGTTATGTACTATACACAGTGTGTTAAGTATATTTACATGCTCACATATGCAAATGTGCTGGGAAGGAGGCATATATGTTTGGCAGTAATGTAAGCCAGCAGAGTAACTTTCCTTACTACCTAGAATAAAATGTGTGGCACTTGGAAACAGGCATACAGCCACAAACAATTACACATTAAACACACAGACAGGTGAGAGGTGAGGAAGATCAACAAGCCAAGACTTAAAACACTCAAACAAAACATCTGCATGCTGACACAAACACCCCCGAAACCACATCCACACAAGAGTATCTATACATACACTGAGATGAAGATCTGCACAAAATAATACACTGAGATCAGGTAGCTGACTCCAACACCTAGAACAGTTTTTTCATACAAGTTGACAGGGTATATAACTCTAAAACCTAGAATAACAGTTACTTCAGATGAAGATCTGCACAAAATAATACACATAAACCTAGAATAACAGTTACTTTCCTGCATGTACAAAGAGGCTAGGTATACTACATATACTATAATATTATTTTTATATGGAGTAAGTAAGAGGTGAGTTTAAAAGTAAAATCATAAACTCAGAATCAAATATCTGAAACTTCTAATTCCTTCTCTGTGGCTCTGTCTACAGGTGTGTTACATTTGCAGTATCTTAATGCTGTACCGCTGCATGCTCTTTGCAACCACGTTATGCAGTCTTAGCTGGGAGCAAACTTTCTGAATCAGAGTTTCATGAAGCACCTACGTGTGCCTCAAACTACTTATAAACAAGGCAGTTCCTCATCCAGGCTTGTATAGGAGAAGATTAGAAGTCAGTAGCAAGCAGGAACAGAGGAGGGCCAGCCTGTCCATACAGGTGATATTAATGTGAATTTATGCAATATGTTTACTCTAGCCATCTGCCTGCACAGTAAGGTAATGAACATAATGTGCTGCCATCTGCTAACTGTGCAGGTACACAATGTATTCCAGGGGCCTATTTAGAAACCACATCAGTATAAATGAATATTCAACATTGCAAACTTAGTATGGAGCAACATTACACTAAACACATGCAATGTGCAGGTAGTTTACATGAGCACAGATTAAGAGAAGACAATCAAAGACTGATTTCCAAACCAAATCTGAAACATTAATGTCTACAAATCAGGAATAATCAGAAACAAAGAGTGATGGTCAGAAATTCTGAAAGTGGCAATAAAAGTGCCATAAAGCAATTTGTTTGCTGCGTCATTTTGTGCAGTATATTGTAGCATGACTACTGGAACATAAGCGGAGGAAACAGACAGGGAAAAGACAAAGGCTTTATTACAACTAATGCTTTCCCATAGTCAGGACAGACCATTCACTGTTTAAGAATAAAGCAAAGACTACAGATTGCTCAACAGTGGGTTAACAAGGCCTCAGGTATCAGACAACTTTGTGCTTCGTGGTGTCTGTAGACACAGCAGTAGCTCTTAATAGACACTAAGGGGTACATATACAAACTGTGAGGAGTGAGTGAGAGACCGAGTGAGTGAATGTCTTTACATTTAATCTTCCTCTCAATTATCATTGCTAAAAATTATGCCATTTTGCTCTTCTACAAACATATCCCCTCAAAATCCTGGAAGCTTTGCTCTTCAAATAGGATTTGAATTCAGATTTCATAGTGTAGTAGTGGTTGAGCAAATGATAAATAAATGTAAACCTGTGTAAAATATAGTCACTCAAACAACGCAAAAAGAAATGTTAAGCAACCACAGAAAAGCACAAACACAAAGTCGTCAAAGTACTAAGTAAACACAAATTGTACTGCTGTTACAAACTGGCCAATTCAACATGAATTGAATATGGCAAATATAACAACTTGCTTATGCTAAGCTACGACTATAGTTCCTACTGTTTCTACTGCAATTTCATAAACAAAATTGTTTTACTTCAGTTTAAGGCAAAAATAAAAGAATAAAAGTGCAACTGCAGCTTTGATTTAGAAGATGTGTTCAAGCAAGTGACAGACCTCCATATCACACAGCACAGCATCTAAAAGATGAAGATGGCTACAGTAAGGTGAGAATCTCATTCACACTCTTATGAAAGTCTATAAGAGGAGGAGGCTTTAAACCTCTGGTGGCACACACCTGAACAGCTCTCGAAGCAAACTTCCACTCCAGAGACAGCTGATTAGCATCTTACACCATTACTTTGAGCCGTGATGCCATCACTGGGTCACCACGGGCTCAGAAATACACAAGCATGGATGGTAATGTGAGTAAGCCAAGAGCCGATATGCCAGCCACAGAGAGAAGGCTCAACCCACAGGAAAGCTTATGGGATATACTAAAGGACATGACAAAGGGATGAATCTACACTTAGAAAGGTGTAACCTTAAGATGAAGAGCATTTGTAGAAAACACTCAGACCAGTTAGTGACTGTTAGATGATGAAGAACAGGAGCTACAGTAACTCAGAAGAAAATAGGGTTCTACCACTGTGGCTCTTCCCCAAGAGGGTAAAAGCTGTTGAGTGTTGGTTGTTATAAGAAGAGTAAGTGACTCTGTTCTCACCGTTTCTATCCCCCCTCTTTATACTTTACTCGAAGCACAACTAAGACAGATTCACACAAGTTTCAAACACCAATTCGCACACATACACAAGGACAAACATGCAGTAATCTGACACTGACCTTAAAAGTAAGTAACGATTTCTTAGGGGTAAAACACAATGGGAATTCACACTGGTGCTTCAACAAGTACAGGTTCTGTATAACAGACCCGTAGGGTTTGTTTATGTGAATCAAGTCAGCTACACTATACAAAATGAAAATCTAAACAAAACATCACGAGTCAATCCACATAAAGACAATTCAAAAGTCACTGAAAGCGCACATAACAAAATATGTAGCTCTGATTTTCACATTTAATCTCTAAAGAAATGAATCGTGTAAATCCTTTTTATTCAAATAAGTTTGACTCCAATGCAAACATTGATCAAAGAGCACATTGTTGTCTGCTCTTTATACTCACAACTATTTCATCTTTTATCTGTGAGTGAAGTTACACATGCTGTGTTTGCTTTTATTCCAAAGAGGGAGGTAAATTTGCACTCTTGACAGCCTTCCGATCTCTGTCCCTCCATAATGGTACCACCACAACCAGTCATTACTTGCCTTTGCTGATAAGCTGTGCACATACTGTAGCAATATCCTCTGAACGAGAGTTTTGTATGAATATCAATACAAGGGGAGGGAGAGGTACAAGTATTCATGTAAAGAGGGGGAAAAAATGAATTGAATTCTCATTCTGAGCTGGAGGTCAGGCAGCTCAGAGCACTGAGGCCTGGACTTGATAAGACTTTCATCATCTTCCCCCCTCACTACTGCAAATGAACCCGAGGCACTCTAAGTGTCCATGTATGAATACAAACAGCCTGACAAAATAACGCTGCATCTGGTTACAGGAAGAAAATTCACT